AACACTAGAATCAGTATTTTGGGAATATTTTCATGAAAGTGACAAAATGTGACTTTTTCCTTTGAGGCAGCATTAGGCTGGTTTTGACCTTGTAGTAATCCTCCTGCCTCAGCCTCCTGGGCATGAGGATTACAGGCATATGTCACTATGCCCAGAGGTTCTTGAATTTTTTGATTGCATAGATGGTTGTGGAACATTGTCAATATATGAAAAACCACTGAACTGGTTCACTTAAAATGCTTAAAATTGTAAATTTTATCTTTTTCTATTTTAAAAAAAGCCTTCCAACCCACTCATACTCCATCCCAGAACAGCTCCCTAAACTGCACAGTGTATCTTGTTTACTGTCTTCACTTTTCTGTGTTGCCTAAAACTTTACTCCCAGGCCTGGAGTCCTTCACAATTTTGCCTCTAAATATATTCCAGTCTCCCTTTTCACCACAACTCATACCATTCAGTTACATGAAATCTAGTAAGTACGCCAAACTCTTCCATGTCCATAAGCCTGCTAACAGTCATTTGGCTTGGAGCGACCCTTTCCAATCTCTGAGAAACTTCCATGCTTCCTTTAGACCTTGCTCAAGTGTCAAAGCTTGTAAACATTCCTTGATTTTCCTTCCTTTTTTGTGTCCCTCTATACTTCTTTTAAAAAAAGTTACCTGTTATATTCATGTAACATTTATTGAATATTATAAGTCAAATACTGTGTTAGAGCTTAAGATTGAAATATAGATAGGCTACTTTTAAGCAGTCCACAGTCTGCTGGGGCAGAAAGACTTTAGTGATCCAGAAACTGGGTTAACATAAGAAAGAAATAAAATCCCCAGGTTTATAAACCCTGGGTTACTAACTTTAAGGGATGAACAGTTTAAATTCTTCCCAAATGAAAATAACCAGAATACCTACAAATACTATTAATTATGCACTTGAACTCCAGGAATGAAAGAAGTGAATAGTGAATTTTCCTAAGGAGACCTCTGGCATTAAGGAAAAAGTAAGTTCCTTTCCCTTTATGGATAGGCCTATGTTTTCCCAGTATGCTAAAAACTGCTCTTTAGAAATAGACTTAGCACCCTATCTCCCCACCTTTCCTTAGCAGGACATTAGTGGGGCACAGAGGAGGAGTCAAAGGAGTTTATGTGCTCCCTGACCTAAAAAACACAATCATATCTCTGTTTGATGGAGGAGCCTGTTGAGGATATGGAGTGGCTGCCCAATGCAGTGAGGCTGGGGTGATGTCGGAGGATGTGCAGGAGTTGAGAGAGAAATGCCTCAGGACTAGGTTCCAATCAGGTCTCAAGTGTCCTTTCTGTCAATGATACTATTGATACTTTTCCAAACTATGTTTCATGTAACAATTTTTTTTCATTTCAGGAATAGTGGTCCCCAGGCACCACAAATATGTGAAAGTACAATGACTGAAATGAAACAAAAAAAATCTGTGAAAAGAATCATATTCATCACCTGCAAATTCAACATTGTCCAAAAATCACCTACTTCAAAAATCAGCTTCCAGTTGCATGTGGTAGTGCATGCCTCTAATCCCAGCACTCTGAAAGACTGAGATGGGAGGGTCAAATTCAAGACCAAACTGGACAACTTAGCAACTGAGACCCTGCTTCAAAACCAAAAACAAAAAAGGGGGTGGAAAAGGCCCTGAGTTCAATTACAGGTATCACCACCGAAACAAAACAGAACAAAACAAAACAAAACATCAAAATACAAGTCTCTTTCCAACCCTGATTCCTAGACAAAGCTCTTCTTTTTTCCCTTTTCCTTAGGATCAAGACCTTGGCATCAGGTTGGGGAATCCAAGCACTTAGCTAGTTTTATCTCAGAGTCTTCCTTCAACATCTTTATTAACATAAGCACTTTTTATTGTGTACCTGCTTAATGTTAGTTCCAGAAGACCCTGGTGGTAGAAATGGGAGGATAGGATACAAACACGTGTAAGGATGTAGCTACTAACCAAGTTGCTAACAAGTTCATGAACAGTTGAGAAACACAGTATTCAAAGATGAGATATTGTCTGGCTGGGGTAACTGGGAAACACTGGAGGGACAGCATTCAAACTGGGCCTTCCCATTGGGGCCTAGCCTGGATTAGACAGAACTAATGAAGAGAACTGGGAAGGGAAGCACTCAATGAACAAGGAATAAAGGTGGCTGTCTGGAACTAATGATCTAAGAAGGCAGTGGTAAGAATAAAGGGTAGAGCAGGCAGCAGAAGCCTTGGTACTACAGGTAGTTTTCTTTAATTCCTTGTATCATCTTTATAGCGGACACCAAGAACTTTGTCACCAGGCACTCCAAGTGCAAAAGTTGGTGGCAGTTGCTTTGTAATTATCGTGTGTCCCTTCCACATTTATAATTTGTAGGAGTGGATGCTGCCACTGAGTTCAGGATGCTAGCAGGTTCTGTTATCACTAACAAAGACTGACATGGGCTGGAGGTACAGAATGCACATCTTTATCACAGAGATGCTTCAAAACTGTCAAGTTCTAATATCTTAAATATGGCTGTGGTCTAACTTTTTTTCAGGCAGTGATTCTTTGAGATAAGGTCTCACTACAGCCCCAGCCAGCCTTGAATTCAGTGATCCTCCTGCTTTAGCCTCCCAAGAGCTGGGATTTCAGGTACATATCACCACACCTGTGGTATGATCTAACTTAACCCTTCCCAAATTTGCTTTTATTTTACTTTATAGTTCAAGGATCTACAATACCCAGGTAAGTCATTCAAATCCTTTTTTGCCAAGGAATCCAAGATTATGTATAATCCAGCTATAATATTTTTATCAGACTTTGACAGGTCTTTTTTTTTTGTCTTTTTCCTTTTTATTGGTACCAAGGATCGAACCCACGACTGCCTGCTTGCAAGGCAGGCACTTTTGCCGCTGAGCTAAATCCCCAGCCCCGACAGGTCTTATTCAAACTGTCTTCTCAAAGATGTTTTGAATAAAAAAATTAAAATTTTTGTTCCCAAGTTGTATGAATGTGAAACACTATTAGAATACTGCTCATATTCTTTATCTTGGTAGGAGGAAGGATTGTTAGACACCTGCATCTGTAAAAAACAACTGTGAATGTACACTTTAGACTGTATAGTGTAGTGGATGTAAACTTCACAACAAAATAAACTGTAAACAAACTCTAATTGATGATACAGATCCTGAAGTATTTAGAGATAAACACACTGTAATTTAAATGAATGGGTAGGTATGTAATAGTCACAGAAAAATGTTAATGGTAGGATCTAGGTGGTTCCTTATTAAATTCTTCATAGATACTGTTGAATGTTTGAAATTTTTCATAATAAAACATTGGGAAAAACGACAACACAATATACTAACTGTAAAGCCTTGATAACACTCTACTTTGTAAAGTTGTATGATGTTAAGCTTTGTGGTAGGAACAAGCATTTCTCTTTTATGTCTTCGTACCACCTTGCAAATACTTCTTATAGCATGGTTTTCTCTCCCAGCACACTGTAAATTCTTGATGGTCACTGCTTAACCAAATTTATATTTAAATTCCTATTGCTTTGCATCATATTTGTGTTTTAATAATAGTGGACAACTGAAGTAAAGTGCAATGTTGTTAAGGATTGCAGTGTTATTTTTTTTAGCAGACTTGCTATTCATTTTTCACCTATCTTAAAAGTTAACCTGTTCACTTTTAAGGAGAAACATGTCCTCTATGTCTCCCTAAGCAAATAAACTTACAAACAAACAAACAAACAAACAAACAAAACTCACCTGTACCTGTATGTATGCTTACTTCAAACCTTAGCCTGAAGGCCTCCTAACATTCAATAATTCTTAAAGATATTTTTCTCTAAAAGAGCGAAGTCAGAGTTCAAAGAAGTCTGGAATGTTTTTAGTTGTTGGATAAATCGTCAGAACTAAGAGACTGATGAACTGGTCAAAAACAAGAAACCGAAGACGTGGAGAAAACACACCCACAAACGACACCATGAGAAAATCATGAAGCAAATCAATCAAAAACTGCACTGAGATAAGGCGACAGTCTTAAGGAGGACACTAGAACATCTCCAATTCCCCAAGTCTGCCTCCTCTTCCCTCCATCCTTCAATTACAGCCAATCAGCGAATAGGGCCGCTGGCCCTCCCAGAATGCTAAGCGGCAGGAGCATGTGGCCCAAACATTTCATCTCCCACGTCAACAACCACAAACCACGCGAGTTCTTGGCGTGAGCAACTGGCGCTGACTTTAACACCCGAGCCCGGCGCCCATTCCCACCCACCCCACCCTTCCGCTGGTGGGTCCGAATCTCTGTGCAAGCCTCTAGCCCGCTCTGGGCTTCAGTTTCCTCATTTGTGCAGTGTAGTGACGCTGTGAGATGAGCGTCAAGGCATTCCGGAGAAGGCACAAGTTACATCCCAACTTATGGTTGTTAACCTTGTGGCGTTCACCAAACAGCCAGAGACCAATCTCTCCAAGTCACCTCTGCCCCTCACTTACTTCCAACCCTGCACCAGTGCTAAGGCCTCTGAGCCTCACCACTGCGGAAGTCTTTGAACATTATCATACCTGCAACCACCTGTTCAGCAGGGCCGTCCTGCTGACCCATGACGAAGTCTTGCACGAGCCCCCACAGGGCGCCTGTAGGCACGCCCGCCTCTGGAGCGGCGGCGGCCATGACGATAGCCTAGGACCGTGGGAGATGGCAGGCTAAGCGCCTCTCAGCGCACGCGCCCCTAGAACCAATCGCCGGGGCCAGGCCTGGGGGCGGGGCGTCTCTGGATCACGTGCCTGCCGGCTCCGGGCCAGGCGTTCCAAGGAGGAACGACGGCTCCTCCCCGGGGGGTGGAGCCTGTGGGGGCAGTGGCGGCCGCTGGGCACGCAGCCGGGGGCCGTTGAGAGCGCCTAGTTACCGGCTGGGCTCCTCGGGAGACTAGCTGCTGGGTGGGTACCTGGCTGGGTGGGGCTGGGGGCGGTGCGCACCTTAGGGCAGCCAATGAGAAAACCAGACCCGGCCCGAGGGGCGGCACCGGTGGGTCACATGCGCACCTGGGGAGGGCGGCGGCGCAGGCACCGCGAGCTGGCGGCCCGGAGCTGGGCCGGGCTGGGGCGGGGCTAGGCTGGTGAGTGGCAGGGTCCTGGGGGCCGGCCCCAGCTGGGAGCCCGGGGCGCGCCCCGTGTAGCTGCAGCGGTGCCCGCCCCCTCTCTCCGCCCCTCCGGCGGGGCTGGTCTCCAGCTGGGCACCGTCGCGGGCCCCCCTGGCCAGGCCACCTGGGACTGTTCTGGGAGCTGGCCACCTTTCTCTCCGCTGGCCGGTAAAGTTTGTGGCGAAGCGGGCGCCGGGCGGAGCGCGTCCCGGGGGAGGTCTAGAAGTCTCCCCCACCCCGGCCGGGCGGCTGGCGCCGTGGACCTGGGACGCCGCGGTCCAGGCAGGAGTGTGGAGCAGCCGGCGGCCGCTGTCTCTGGTGCATGGGGACCGGCTGAGGAACCAGCATGGGCAACTGCGTGGGGAGACAGCGTCAGGAGAGGCCGGCCGCCCCAGGACACCCCCGCAAGCGAGCAGGTACGCCGAAGAAGGCAGCGGAACACACGCCTGGCAGTTGTCCCCGCCGTGCAGGCCCCCTGGCGTTCCCGAGCGACCTCCTGCGGCTTCTGGTGCCCAGGCTGCTCCGACTTGGACGGGGCCCCCCCGCCCAGCGCGGGTGGCCGCGGAGCCGAGTTGGGGCAACTCGCTCCAACTGGGAAGCTCCGGTGGGGGTGGGGGCAGGAAATGTTTGCAGACTGCAGCAGGGCCGGCCCAGGACAGGGTGGGGGCCGGGGTGCCGCTGACCAGGGTCGGACGCCCCCGAACTCGCAGCGAGCGAGCTAACAGTAGCCGTTCCTTCCAGAGACTGTGTTATTATTCGGCTGCAGACCGTGTCTGCCAGAATCCGACTTGACAAAAGCAGTGCAGAACTCTGGGAAAGAAATTTTTATTTCTCTCTTCCCGCACTGCTTTTTGAGCCTCCTCGCCGGCATCCTTGGGCTTGCTGAGATCCTTCCCAGCCCTAGGAATGGGATCTGCTCTCTGGGGGGATGATCCGACAGGCCTCGTCAGCGCAGTCTCACTGTCTTGCTACACCCCTTCTGTCCTGGCATTTCGCCCCGGGAAGAGATCTGGCGGTCGTTTTCCTGGGTCTTGTAACTCCTTTCCATCTTTGAGGATGTTGCAAGAACTTTCTGTGCATGTTAAAATAGCCTTTAGAGCTCAAAGGACCTTCGAAACTTCTCTGGATTCCAGATAGATCTATCTGTCTCCTCTGTGTAGATCCAGAAAGGTTGAGCAACTTTTTCAAAGTCACATAGCTAGTTAGTGCAACTAGAGCTAGACACCAGCCTCCTATTCTACCCTATTGCCACATATCTTTTTTTGTAAGAGGAACCACAGACACAGTTGTTAATGAAGTGGAAGCTCTAGTTGGAGCTTTTTGTCTGCTTTGACATTGAAGGTGTGTTGCTTAGTTGCAGAAACTGGGAGGTAGGATGGGGGAAACAAGCAAGGAAGGATGTCTGTGTGGTGGACAGGATGACTTGTGCAGGAAGAGACATGTTTTTATAGAAAGAATGAAGATTAAAGTCCCCTGATCTGAGGGCCACGGTGATCATTCCTCTGAGGGAAGTTGCTTCTTCACCCCCAGGGCTTTCTTCCTTCTATGTATTTTTTTCAACAGATTTTATTTATTTTTGTGGTACCAGGGCTTCATGCATAGGAGACAAGCGCTCTTACCACTGAACTACTGAGCTACCTCCCCAGGCCTTGAAATCTTGAAATAGTGTCTCACTGAGTTGCCTAGGCTGGCCCTCAAACTTGCAGTCCTACTGCCTCCACTTATTGGGTAGTTGGGCATATACACATGTGCCACTGTGCCTAATTAATGATTAGTTTTTATTTGTATACTCAGTCTTTATTTTTATAGCATACTTTTGCCATTGATAACCCTCTCTTACCTAAAACAACTCTTCTTTTCCTGGCATCATATTGTTTTGGTTCTTTGCTTATCTCTTTGCCTGCTACGGACTCAAGTGTGGGGATACCCATGGCTTGGTTTGACATTCTAGATTCTGACACCCTCTTGTACTCTCTTCCAAATAAATCTTACTCAGTTAAACTATTCTGTCCACTGGAAAGACTCCTACATTTTAATCTTCAATTTGAACCCATCTCTAGATGACCACTGGTCCCTGACAGAAAATGCCTCTTAAAACCAAGCTCTGCACCTCACCTTAGCCTTCTGCTCTTGTGTTTTCCCAGCTGCCTAGCGTTATACTTTCTCTGCTGCCTTCCAGCCAGTCACTGGGGCCTGCTGGTTCTTCTTTCACCTGTCTGTCTTCCCATTCAGTCTCATGGCCTTGTCACCTCAAGTCCAACTCTAATTCCATGCTGAAGTGAGTTCCTCAAGAAGGGCAAGTTTGCCTTCAGTCATTCATCCAAAACCTGCATACGGTGTCCCCTCCAAGATGCTTTTCAGAATAACTTTTTCCGAATCCTGTAGTTTTATGGGTAAACCTTTTCTACGCCTTATCATTCCTATAGGATCTTTGACTTTCAAGGCTAGTAAATATGGCCAGTTCTTTTATCTTTTTTGGATGGTATGAAGGATTGAACCTAGGACCTCATACATGGTAAGTTAAGTGCTCTACCACTGAGTTGCATCCTTAGCCTTTTTAATTTTATTTTGAGACAACTTGCAAAATTTTCCAGGCTGACCTCAAACTTGTGATCTTCCTGCCTTCTTATCTTACTGTCTGAGTATCTTCCAGAAGGGTTATGTACCATTGCCTTGGGATTGGCCTCCTCCTTTTAATTCTTTCTTTTCCTTGACATTAAGAATACCAGCATTTGCTTGTGCAATTCCTTTTTTAAAAATTTCTCTTCTTTCTGAGAGCCTTTCTTTCCTTAAAGGTCCACTTCAAATTTCATATCTTTTTTGAAGCACCCTCCCCTGCCTGACAACCTCTTGTAAGAATTTCTGTAGGCATATTAACTATGCCACTTAGTTAACAATTATCTACTCCCTGTAATTAGCCCTGTCTTTGATGTTCATGATCTTATATCAGCAATCATATTGCAAACCTGGATACCAGGGTTGTCTTTTTCTCTTTGTGTTGGTCGGCCCTTGTCACTCACTCACATAATCGTGTACACACATAATAGCCACAGTGACTTGTACAGAGGAAGCTCTTGATGTTTGATTTTAGAAAGCTAATCCAACTTCATTTTGCCACCAGACTTTTTTGTGTAAATATTTTACGGAAGTATATATCTGCATTTTTAAAATGTTAGTCAATTGTTATTTTAATTCTGTTCACCCTATTTCTGAATAGCTTTTTCATAAAGTTAAAAGCCAAGGGGAATTCTGTAGGATGATAAGATTTGGTAAAAGGAAAGGAATCCTTCTTCACAGCATGCTCTTGGCATTCCTGTAACATCTGTAGCTTATTACCCTTTGACAGGGACATAGTTTCATGTTGTAAGACTAATGCCTGGAGCTGGGAGTATAGCTCAGTGCTAGAGCGCTTGCCTAATGTATTCAAGCCTCAGCCTATGCACAAATAAATAAATAAAGGACTAATGTCTGAAACTTAACTCCCCAGCTCCCACTGTAAATCTTACCTTTATTTTGGTACTGATGTTAACAGAAAGCTAAAACCTGAGTTTTAATCCTGGGCCTCTGCTCAGTGACCTTAGGCAGATCACCAAGCCTCTCTGAACCACACATCCAGTACTTCAGAAAGAAAGGGAGTTGTACAAGGTCATTAGGGCTGTTTTATTGTCTTCATAAAAATTCAAGACTAAAGTTACTGGGGCTGGGGCTATAGCTCAATGGTACAGTGCCTGCCTAGCAAGCATGAGGTCATGGGTTCAACTCTGGGTACCAAAGAAAATAAAAACAAAAAGAAAACTGAAGTTGCTGAGATGAAATCTTATGCCTTTATAATGCTACCCTTTGTGCTTAGTTATGTCTTTTCAGTTATGTGGCAGGTGAAGCAGGGGCTCGGGCCAGTGGTCAGGGATTCTTGGATTGAGTAGGTTTATTAGCTACCTTCTTATCTTACCAAGTTTTGTGATTGCTGCTTTTTTATTTTTACTTTTCATTGTTAGCGTAATGCTTCTGCAGTAGACTCAGGTTCCTCTCTCAAGGTGCTGGGTGTCCTTGCATGCTTTTAAGAATACTTGAGGCTTTACTTCTTTGGAGGGGCTACTGCCACCCATAAGCATTTACAGAGTAGATCAATATCTGCTCACAAACTGGGTAAAGCAGCTTCTAACTGCTGTAGAGAGAAAGAGAGATGGTAGAACAGGCAAGTCTCTTGCCTAGCCCCACCCCTTGAAAATGTGGCAGGGCAGAAACCCAAATATCTGACTCTGTGATGTGCCAGGTATATTCACTTACATTTTAGAATCTCAGGCGCTCACCAGACAGACTCAGGGCCATGTTTGGGACTGGTTGGTCTTGGCATTGTGGTTGCAAGGAGTATGCTTCTGGTTGTATGGTTTGTGTAGCTATTCTTGAGGGAGTAATTGAATAACGCCTTTCTTTGTTCAGTCAATATTTACTGAGTGCCAGGCTCCTTGCTGGCTGTGAACAGACATGGTCTGTGGCCACATGGAGCTTACAGTCTTGTGGGCACAGATAATAGACACATAAACAAATTACAAATGACCATCATGTGAATTTTTTTTTTTGGATATGTCATGCTATGTTAAGACTGGCCTTGAACTTACTGTGTAGTCCAGGCTGCTCTTGAACTCAAAGTAATCCTCCTGTCTCAGCCTCCCCAGTGTTGGGATTACAGGCATGCAGCACCACACCCAGCATGAGACTCTTGTATAGGTATACAATTATGCATTATATATGCTGATAACCACATTTGTAATCTCAGTCCCTCCTTTCCAGCTCCAGCCTTGTAAATTTTGCTACCTCCTAAGCGTACCTGATATCCAAAAGACTTCTGTTTTACATGTCCATACCAGAATGAACCCCTACCCCCAACGTTTTTCCTCCCAACTCATTTCCATCTCATTTAGAAGTGATTTCATTTTTTCAGTTGCCTAACACCCCAAAACTCTGGAGTCATCCCTGACTTCTCCCTTTCTTTTAAGTCTTATATGCATTTAATCAATAAATCCTATTGGCTTTGTCTTCAGGATATCCTGAACCTGACTTTCCCATACCACCACATTTATCCTGCTTAAGCTACCACTGGCCGCTTACCTGACCTTCCTACTTTCCTCCCATCTCCTGAAAGATTGTTTTCATCACAGCAGCCAGGGTGATGCCAGGAGCTGTAGAGTTGTTACATTTTGTTGCTTTTTGTCAGCTGTTCCTGTGACTGCATCTTACCCAAAGTCCTTGCTTTGGCCTATAAGGAATGATAAGAGTTTTGTCCATTTACTTTTCTTAAGCTATGTTTTGTTCTTCATCCCCTTGCTCAACTCCCTGGTATCTGAATAGCTGTCTTCCTGTGCTTGGCCCAATCTCCTATTTCAGATCCTCCCAGGCTGTCCCATTTAAAATTGAT